TTGTAGGAATTGGGTCTATGAGGCTTGTAGAGGATTTACAGGAGGAAATTAAGCTCAGGAGTTCTGAGTGTTTTAAGGACGTGCACTGGATGGTCTGTCTAATCTTAGTTATTTTACCATTAAAGGATGTAATAAAATCATCACTCTTGAGAGATTGCGGGACTTGCGAGTTTAATGGAGAATTCTGTGTTAACCTAGCCACGGATTCAAATAGCAATTTTGGATTGGTTTTGTTCCCGTCTATTAATCTGGAGAGATACACAGACCTAGCAGTCACTAGTGCTTGTCTGTATTTAGACAGGCTCTCTTTCCATGCAGATTTGAAAACTTCTAGTTTAGTTGAGCACCATTTGCGCTCTAGCTTGCGTGATGCCTGTTTGAGTTCACGTGTATGTTCAGAGTACCAGGGGGCAGGTTTCTTATCTCTATGCTTTATCTTCTTAAGTGGAGCTACAAGATGTAGTGTGCTACGAAGGGATTTATCCATGTTTGCAGTCGCCTGTTCAAGTTCATAAACTACACTACAGGCCTACACTACAGGCCCAGTTTTTTTAATTTATCATAATTCAGTACACTGCCAATACATTGTAGTGAGAGTCTGGTTAAAATTGGATAACTTTTACTGTAACAACAAATCTAATGCATATACATATGGATTGTATGTATTGTTGCACTGTTGTTGCATTATATGGCAGTCTAATACTTTAAACTGTTATTTTTCTGGAATGAGAATATTCTTTTGTCATTGTAGTGACGGAAGTGTAATGTATGGTTGTGATATTTTGTTGCATTCAGAATGTACAGTAATTTGTTTCAGTATCACGCTTGTTTTTTAAAAATCCGATATATTTACTATTGCTAATGTGATGATATATTCCATTTCACTTGACTAATAGTTTCACAAGGAAGCGATGACCTACGCATTCTCAAACCCTGTTATATGAAGAAATTACCGTACTCCATTCACAGGCTTATGTTGTGAAGGTGGAACGTGATTGCCAGCATGGGGCGACACTTGTTCAGAGGAGCTTTGAGGAGTTCCATGAGCTCCATAGTAAACTACGCCTTATCTTCCCGTCCTCTAAACTACCTAGGTAACCTATCACCTGTTTTCTATGGTCATTCTAAATCTATGATGCTTAGTCTGGGTTTTTTCCCCCCATGTACAGATGTTCCTGTTTGCTTATAGTCTGTTCATGTTAAGAGTTAATAGGCTGAAATGAAAATAGACAAACATATTTTTGTGTTCCTGTTGTGCTACCTCTGTCATATTTTATTTGAGCTCCACAATATGTTTGCATGATTATAGGAAATTACTGCTTATTTGGTCAAAGCAACAGTTTTTTTTATTTTAAGGGATAGCTTGGGTTTGCTTTATTGTTCGTCTGCATTCTCTTACCATGGTAATGCACACAATGTTAGCAATTAAGTGAAAACAAGCATTATATGTTAAAGGACCATGCAAGCCATGTTAACTAGCATTTCCTGTGAGGCTATATTACTGTGATGTAATCTCATGGCAATCTAACACTTCCCTCTCCTCCCCAAATAGTTTTCCCAGCCGTTTTGTGATTGGCCGGTCACGTGGCGAAGCCATGGCTGACAGAAGGAAAGATGAGCTGAATGGCTATGTCTGGCACCTTATCCATGCTGCCCGAGAGGTGGCCCAGGTAAATGCTTCTTTTGAACTTTGACATTTTTTGACTATGTTTGGGCTGCTTAAAACAATATTATTTTTAATTCATTGAAAGAATACATGAGGTTGTTTGATATTTCCACTTTATCCATGTATACAATATATCTCATCTTCAGAAGTTAGAAATATGAGTTAATTAATCAAGTTACTTGGTTACATACGATTTATGGGGACGAGGCCCAGTCAGGAACAAGACTTTCAGAGGGTTGAGATCAAGTCAAGACAAAACAGAGACTTTGAGAAGGTTGAGATTGAGTCAAGATCAAGACTTTGAGAGGGTTGAGATAGTCAAAACAGTGGCTTTCAGGGGTTTGAGACTGTGACCAAAAAAAATCGGGCATTCCATTTGCCTCGGGATCCGTTTTTCGGATTCCAATATTACGTCACATCCACTAAAAACTCAGGAACACTGAGTCAGATGCGTTCCATTTGCCACAGAAGTAGCAATACCATGGACCCATATGAAAAAGCAAGATTTTTTGCTTAGCTGGACAATTTGTCAGATTTAAGGTACCTCAGTTTAAATAGCCTTTATCTTCGTTCACTTACAATTAGCCCGAACTACCTTAAATCCGACAAATAATCCGACTAATCATGAAATCCAATTCTAGCCCAGTTAATTGGTAGCCATTGTTAGCAATATCACTTGATAACACATTATGCGTGGTGCTTCACATATAAAACTCCGTAGCAACACATCCACAGATAAGTTGTACGGTATAGTGTGTGCTGCTATTTTAAAGAGCCACAA